CCCTAGTTTGTGATAAAGAATGCAACTTGGCAATCATATTGCTAGCAGTAGTGACAGGGAGTTACGCCTTATTTACAAAATCCCGAGATCTGAACCCACGTCGGAATGTGCTGCACATACGGCCTCTGGAACCCAGACACAGATGCACGAGTCGATTCCAAAGATGAATTATCTGAAGGAGTGTTCTGAGTCCTCATCTGCAACTGGAGCTGTCGAATCACACCAGCCTGTCTCTCCTTTGTCTCACGGATCTCACTGACCGACTTCGAAATTGGTGCGACCCGAGCCTGGACCTGGGTCGTGATTTCAGCGTTCATGTCGGTATCATTTTTTCTGCAACATTTGCTTCATGTCGTTTTACATTGCTGCAAATTGACTGCGAAGAAGTTCTGCAACATCCCCAGCTCCACCTCCCGCATCTCCTCCATTGCCCTTGCTGCCCCTCCTCCAACGTCCGTCTCGCGGGCCCCCTCACACTCAGCATCCATATTGTCCCCGTTGCCTGTGTTTGCTCTGTTCAAGGGCTGCTTCTCAACAAGACCATCGTCTGTGCCTGAATCCATTCTGACGGTGGTATATCTGACAGAAGAGTCTGGCGAAACGTCAACGTTTGATTTGGCAATAACACCAAGAGCGTCGTGTGATGGTACAATAAGGCCGTAAACGACGTTACACACAACAAGAACGTCTGATATAATCCTCCCACTAGGAATCCTGGGCTTTCAGGGTCGGCCCATACCATGTGCAGCTTCCACGCTGTATATTTTCAGCTTGCTTCTGCCCAGCGGTATCTTGGGCTGTCGTGTGCTGGGGTCGTGGTCGCATGGCTTTGACCTGCTGCGCCCTCTGAGCTTTCCCTTCGTACACAGACTCGGTAGTTGCTGTTCGCCGATTGTCGATCAATGCGTTTTGTCACGGTGTCGCACTGAGGACATGCCAGGATAGCGGCGTGCAGGCTTTGCTCCCCCTTCGAGTTTGAAGGGTTCTTGCGAAGGGCCCTCATCTGCGTTGCCTTCCGTTGCTGTTTTGTCTCAAAGCGCCGCCTCCCAATACGTTTGTATTGGGACCGATGCACCTGTCCATCTCACCGCCACCACTGCCATTGTATCCTTCTTTCCCCTGTCGTGCGCTCCATGCAGTTGCAACCTTGTTTTCGATTCCCGGAAGTGCACGGGTCTCCGAGCTGTGTGTGGGCCTTTCAAGTAATGAAGACACTCTGCCGTTCTTGAGGCGCATAGTTCGTGGGGGCTTGAGGGCAGTCCAACTCGTGCTTGAGGGCACAGTTGCGGATATACGCATAGATGCGTATAGATACGCCCTTTCTCCCTCCCTGTGTTTGTCTCTTATCTGAAGGTCGGCCGCTTCCAGGTGCAGAATGAACGCGCGGTAAAAAAAAGGCCGTCTTTTCTGTCCGTAGGTAGTCGTGGTTGTTTCCTGGTTCGAGGTTGCGGTGAGCGTATGCGACATGGCCCAGGCCAGTTTTGTGACAAATGTGCGCTCTTGGTGCCGCTTTGAAACTTTCGGCAAGCTCTCGCGGCCATGCCGTTACAGACAACTATCTTTTTGGTTTTTCGTTTCCAAACCAGTTTTGTCCAATTCGGCCCTGGGTCCGTCAAAGCACGGCGAGCATATGCATTCCGTTCTGTAGCGGCCTTTGGCTTAAGCCATTTGGATGTCTGTAGGGATCTCTTGGGAGGCAGGTCGGATGCCTTTCGGAGGCGGTTTCGGAGTGTTTTGGGGGCCTGTCAGGTGCATTTAGGGAGCGTCTTCGGGCCTGATTTGGACCCTTGGGGGCTTGTTCAGGCTTCTTGGTGCTCTGTGTGTGTGTGTGTGGCTCTTCGAGATGTCTTTGGGCGCATCGTGAGCGTCTTGGGTCGTCTTGTGGCCATCTGGAGCGTTTTGGAGTGTTCTTTGGGCGATTCGGGGTTCTCTTGGTTTGTCTTGGGGGTCCCGGGGGCTTCTTCGGGCCCTCTTAGCCTGTCTTGGGGCTTCCTGAAAAGCAGCCGCGACACGCGCGCCAAGTTCCAGAAGGCACGCGGGAAACCCAAACAAGTCTGGTATTTTGGGGCCCGCGCTCTGCAATGCCCCATACGCCTTTCGCGGCGCCTTGGCGGATAGATATGTGGGTAGGCGTGGCGCGAACGTGATGCGCATATTATCCATGTGGTGGGCTCTCTTTGTGAGAATTTCATGGCTCAGTTCATGCATTTTCCAGTCGTCCGCCTGCGCGCCACCCTTTTCCATGGGTGTGTGGTTCAACTTTTAAGCTGTCGGCGAGCTCTCGTGCGGCGCTCGGCGCAGGCGTAACTGTCGTCCCAGTTGGCGCGAATCTAGCAAATGCAAACCACACAATGGATCCGCTAGACAAACAACACATCAGTCTTGCCATGCATTTGTGCAACACGTTTTCTGAGGTGTGATCGTCTTTCTGGGTCTGATGCTTGCACTGCGGTCCGCCATTTCACGCCGTCGAGGTGGTTTTCCCTTTTGGTCCTGGCGGTCGGGTTTCCTATGATATTGTGGTCTCATGCTTTCAGCTGTTGCTTAGCGCCTTGAGCCGTGCCGTGTCCCAGCGACAACTCGTTGCAGCGATCGTGTGCGTTGTTGGTTGGTGGGTGGGTGGTGGGGGTGGTTCCGTGACCAAGGGTAGTTCGACATCCAGAGTTTACCGATAATGAAACATGTAAATGTAGTTCTTTCGAGTTTGAAGGGTCGTAGAGGAGATCCGCCTGCTTCCCTTACTGTTTATCCTCCTCCCTCTTCCTCCCCGTCGCCATGACTGGTCCGCAATGCGCTGAAACAGTTTTTCGCCGCGAGGAGGAGGAGGAGTCAACAGTGAAAAAGAGACACATGTACGAGTAAGTTGCAAGATCGTAGACAACAGGGAAACGTGAGAGAAGGATGGGATTGGATGATGACAGCGGCGATCAGGTGTAAGATGAGCGAGTTCCGGGAAATAAAGAGGCGGGTGCCGAACGTGATGGGGTCGGGGAACTTTTGGATGAGGAGAATGGCGTGGGGCAGGAAAATGCCGAGCTGGAAGAGGAGAAGATTGTAAGTTTGTCGCCGCAGGAAGAACAGGTTCCTGCCAGTTTGTGCACACATGTATCATTTCCTATCCTTTTTTCCCGGAAAGGGCGTAGGCCCAGGGTTCTCTTTATAACGAGGTCGAGATGGGCCGGCGAATTCAAATTTGAGGATGTCCCTCCCGAGCGAAACGCTGGTTTTTGAAATTCCGATCGGTACAACACAGGGTCAAGTAAACATTTTCGTTTGTTGCGGATGTGTCGAGCGAAGAGTTAGTTTTGCATAATTTGTTGAGCGAAACGTTTGTTTTGTGCTATAGATCGTTCCTCTCCTGGGGACCAGAATTCAGAGGATGTCTCAGGTGAAATGCTTGCTTTCACGTGCCCAGGTCTTGAGGATGCCTCGAGCGAGACGCGTGTTTTCACGCGTTCAGGTCGTCCAGGCAGATGTCTAGCTTGAGGATTTGTTGAGGATGTCTCGAGCGATACGCTTGTTTTCACGCGCCTAGGTCGCCCAGGCAGATGTCTAGCATGAGGATGTGTTGAACATGCGTTGAGCGAGACGTTTGTTTTCACGTATCCAGGTCGCCCAGGCGGATGTCTAACATGAGGATTTGTTGAGGATGTATCGAGAGAGACGCTTACTTACACGTGTCCAGGTCGCCCACGCGGATGTCTAGCATTAGGATGTGTTGAGAAGGTCCCGAGCGAGACGCTTGATTTCATGTAGCCAGGTCGCGCAGGTGGATGTCTAACATGAAGCTGTGTTGACGATGCCTCGAGCGACCCGCTCGTTTTCGCGTGTCCAGGTCGCCCAGGCGGATGTCTAGCATGAGGATGTGTTGAGGACGCGTTGAGCGAAATGCTTGGTTTCACGTGTCCAGGTCGCTCAGACAGGTGTCTAGCATGAAGAGGTGTTGAGAACGTCTCGAGCGAGACGCTTGTTTACTCGTGTCCAGGTCGCCCAGGCGGGTGTCTAACATGAGGATTTGTCGAGGATGTCTCGAGCGAAACGCTTGTCGCAGTAGAGTGCGTCGCAGTCCAACCCCGCCCGTCCGTGGGGCGTTTCCTGGCGCCCTGGCGTGTCCCCTGGCTAGTCCCTTGCGACGTTCAGGCGTGACGTGCCCTGGCACGTCCCCTAGCACGCCACTCGGCGTGGCACGTTTCCTGGCTCGTCCTCTGTCGCGTTTCCTTGCTCGTCCCCAGGCGTGTCCCCTGCCCGTCTCGTGGCAGGCCCCTTGCAACGTCCCTTGGCATGACGTCCTCTGGCTGCCCCATGGCACGCGCTTTGGGACGTCCCGTGGAAGGTTCCTGACATGTCCAGGGCGCGCTCCTGATGCGTCCCCTGACACGTCCCCTGGCGCATCCCTTATTGCGCCCCTGGCACTTCCTGTGGCGCGTCTGTGAGCCTGTGCCCCGTGTCGTGTCGTTCCTTTTCTGAGCTGAGTCGGATTTTGAGGTCGAGTTGATTGAACGGCCTCCACTTTTCCACTTCAACTAGCTCTGGGGTGGCTACTATTTGCTCAGGCAGCTCGAGCTTAAGATCCAGATCTGTTCGGTCAGGACACGAATGCAAAGGAGGACTCGATCCACAACGCTATATAATACAATCGCGGGATGATACATCGCAGTTCAGCAAGGCACAGTACAGCACAGCCCTGGGCTCGGTACACCAAAGTCGATACATTGAGCATTACAGTTGGTCGTCGCCCGATCAGGTGTCTTGAAAACAATTCTCATCTCCCATTCAGGGTTCGTGGGTCGATCATGTTTGTATGGCCTGATTTGTTCAGGCCTCGCCTGGTCTTGTGTTGAAAGGTCTAGTCTGGTCTGGCTGGCTATTGTGTGCTCCGGGTGGTGGGTCTCGCGTCGCAGGATCTGGTCCGTTTGTGTCGAGTAGAGGATGGGGGCAGTAATATGGGAGCAGGGGGATGGAAAAGAGAGCGAGCGAGAAAGAGAGAGAGAGAGGAATGGGCAGCCACGGCATGAAGAACACCGTTTGGTACCTATCTTGAGTGTCTCTGAGGATCAGGTTCTTTTGTGTGCCTCCTTCGGTGGCGTTGACATTTTGGTGTCCGTCTGGCAGTCAGAAAGGGCTTCTTCTGAGCACTTGCGATGGTCGTGGGGGCCTGGCGCTCTCACGGGGTGCTTCTTTGCTGCAGTGGAACGTTTCTCCCGAATGCGTTTTGTGTATGGCTGGTCTCTGCCCGCCCGCGCAAGCAGTTTTTCGGTTTATAGAGGGGTGGTTCGGGCGCGCCAGGCCGTGGCAAGGGCAGTGACATCAGGCAGAAGGGATACACGTGGTCTCGGGTGTGGCAGTGGTGCAGACGGGGCGAGGTGTCCGTGGAGCCAGAAGCATGCAAGAGCTATGTGGGATTAGGAAGTCGCTTAGCAGGCGCCCGGCTGGCTCACAATGCGACAGTGTGCACGTGTCGTGTGGACTCTTCTCACAAAGACGATGAGTATTAGATTCACGAGGACTGTTGAATGCATTTGTTGTGATGGCTAGAATGACAGACATCGTATCACCACCCTCCCTAGCGAAAGGATGCCTTTGAGGCGTATCCAGACTTGGTCGGCACATGCCAGGGGCGGCTACGGCATCGTTCGACAGTACATGTCGGCATGCTATGTCTGCGTGTTTTGCTTACAGCTCGCTTGATGTGTGGGCGTCTCATGTCTTTGTCGAATTCGACTTGACAGATTCTGTTGCTATACTGTTGCCGTCCGAATGCGGAAATCATGCAGTGCCTGCGAACCCCTCGGCGTGCATCCTTCGGCACCGCCCCCTCTGCAGGTGTGGGCAGTGCGTGAACGGCCCCTGGCTACGCCCGAAGCCGCCAGCGCCGTCTTGCAGCAGCGCCAGGCTGGGCGGCCTTCGCAGGTTCGTGTGGTGCATGATTTGTATCCGTACGCAGGTACTGGGCCGAGCTTCATGTTCTTGGAGGGGTCGGAATCAGCTTTCTCCTTTTGGAGTGTCAACCTGGGCCTTTGGAACTTTGGGGAATAATGCAGCCAGAGAAACATGGGGACCCAAGTTCACGCAGAAGTCGGAAGGGAAACTGCTTCCGTGCAAGGTGCGTCAGAGTTTCCGCCATCTTCAGATAGTCGACGGTTGTGTCGAGACGCCAGGGAAGAGATCTGGAAGGTGTCCGCCCAGATGCGTCACCAATCAGGGCCCCTATTATTTCAGAATTCGAAGGAGCCACCGTCGTCGTCCCGATTGGCCTCTTGACACCAAACCAGCATTTTCGGGAGTACGGAGTCTAAGTGGACGTTGTTACCATGAATGCGATGCAGTCGCCCTCTTATGCGCCTGCCACTCATGTCAGGTTGACATGGCGCGGCGACCATACGTTGCGATGTCCTGCTGTCGGATGGATTTGGGCAGGACAATCAAATTCAATGACGACGTCGTGCCGTTTGGCTGGCTCGGCTTGGGTAGTTAGTTGCTTTCGAAGGTCTATTCTGGCCGTCCAGCTTCTCGGGGCCAGTGTTGTTGCAGGTTCGGTTGCGTTTTTTCCCGGAAAGGGTGGAGGCCCAGGCTTCTTTTTTTCCCGGAAAGGGCTTAGGCCCAGGGTTCTCTTTTAGTTTGTTTCCCCCCGGTTTTGACTTGAGGTGGGCCGGCGAATTTCTTTCGCGATAAATATCGAGGTCGAGGTGGGCCGGCGAATTTAGAATTTGAGGATGAGCGAAACGCTTATTTTTCAGAATTTGTTGAGGATGTTTCGAGCGAAACGCTTGTTTTGTGTTATAGATTGTCCTCTCCTGGGGACCAGGATTCAGAGGATCTCTCGAGTGAAAGAAATGCTTGTTTTCACGTGCCCAGGTCTTGAGGATGTCTCCTTCGAGACGCTTGGTTTCACGCCTCCAGGTTGCCCAGACAGATGTCTAGCATGGATTTGTTGAGAATGTCTCGAACCAGAGGCTTGCTTTCACGTGTCCAGGTCGCCCAGGCGGATGTCTAGCATGAGGATGTGTCGAGGAAGTCTCGATCGAGACGCTTGTTTGCGCGTGTCCAGGTTGCCCAGGCCGATGTCTTAGCATGAGGATGTGCTGAGAACGTCTTGAGCGAAACGCGTGTTTTCACGTGTCCAGGTCGCCCAGGCACAGCACAGCCATCGGCACGGTACATCAATATCGATACCCTTAGCATTGCAGCCTGGCATGTTGCCTGGCACCTTCCGCGGAGCGTCCCGTGGCGAGTCCCCCTGGCACGTCGCGCGGTGCACGCTCATTGGCACGTTCCGTAGCGCGTCCCCTTGGCACGTCCCGCGGTGCGTGCCCATGGCACGTCCCCTGGCACGTCGCCTGGCGCGTCCCTTGGGACGTTCCGCGGCGCGTCCTCCTGGCATGTCCCCTCAGTCGATTAGTTATGGGGCAGCTACCATCTGCTCAGGCAGCTCGATCTTAAGATCCAGATCAGTTCGGTGAGGACTCGGATGCAAAGAGGACTCGATCCACAACGCTATGTAGAGCACAATCGCGGCATGCCACATCGCAGTTCAGCACGGAGCAGCACAGCACAGCCCTCGGCACGGTACATCAAGATCGATACACTCAACATTGCACTTTGGCACGTTCCTTGGCGCGTTCCGTGGCGAGTCCGCCTGGCACGTCGCGCGGCGCGTCCCCTGGCACGTCCCGCGGCACGTCCATTGGCACGTTTCGCAGCGCGTCCCCTTGGCACGTCCCGCGGTGCGTCTCCATGGCACGTCCCCTGGCACGTCGCCTGGCGCGTCCCTTGGGACGTTCCGCGGCGCGTTCTCCTGGCATGTCCCCTCTGTCGATTATTTCTGGGGCAGCTACCATCTGCTCAGGCAGCTCGAGCTTACGATCCAGATCAGTTCGGTGAGGACTCGGATGCCACGGAGGACTCTACCCACAACGCTAGATAGAGCACAATCGCGGCATGACACATTGCAGTTCAGCACGGCGTAGCACAGCACAGCCCTCGGCACGGTACATCAAGATCGATATATTCAGCATTGCATGTGCCCGTTGCCCAATCAGGTGTCTTTGAAACGTTGCCATGCCTTACATTTCTATATTCCTTTCTGGGTTCGTGGGTCGATCATGTTACCAGTAAGGGCCTGAACCCAGGGTTCTGTTTTAGTAGGTTTACCCCCGGCCTCGACTTGCGTAGGGTCGGCGAAATTTTTCAGTGGTAAATAACGAGGTCGCGTAGGGCTGGCGAAATCATCTTTGAGGACGTCCCGAGCGAAACGCTTGTTTTGCAGAAATAGTTAAGGATTTCTCGAGCGAAACGCTTGTTTTGAATTATCGGTTGTCCTCTCCTGGGGATCAGAATTCAGAGGATCTCTCAAGTGAAATTCTTGTTTTCACGTGCCCAGGTCTTGAGGATGTCTCGAGCGAGACGCTTGGTTTCACGCCTCCAGGTTGCCCAGGCAGATGTCTAGCATGAGGACTTGTCGAGGAAGTCTCGAGCTTGTTTTCATGCGTCGAGGTCGCCCAGATGGATGTCTAGCATGAGGATGTGCTGAGGAAGTCTCGATCGAGACGCTTGTTTGCACGTGTCCAGGTTGCCCAGACGGATATCTAGCATGAGGATGTGTTGAGAGCGAAGCATTTATTTTCGCGTGTCCAGTTCGCCCAGGCCGATGTCTGACATGAAGATGTGTTGAGGATGTCTCGAACGGGACGCTTTCTTTCACGTGTCCAGGTCGCCCGCGCGGATGTCTAGCATGAGGAGGTGTTGAGAACGTCTCTAGCGAAACGCTTTTTTTCACGTGCCCAGGTCAGATGCTGATCGGATGCTGACCGTTCCCGAGCCAGGCGTGCAGCAGCTCCCCGCTGCTCGCTCTCTCTCCTCTCCGCCCCCTGCCTTCCCGCGAGCGGCTGGCGAGGCGGCGACCGGCGCCGCTGCCGACGCGCGTGCGATGGCGGGGGCCTCTGCCTCTTGCAACGCGCCCGCGCACGCTCCCAGCGGTGGAGGTGCCGCGTCTGTGTGTAAAGTCCCTGGCGGTCATGAGCGTGGCCAGGGGGACTCTGTCGGCTACGCGCACACGGGGGGTAGGGGGAGGGGGGGAGACTTCTTAGAAGGGGGCTTCTGCTCAGAAGGCGCGGGCCTTGTCCGTAGATGTAAGGCCCACGCCTTCTAAGAAGCAGCCTCCTTCTAAGAAGTTTCCCCACTCCCCCTACCCCCTTGTGCGCGCCGTTGACCATGAGAATATTGGGAATAAGCAGTGTGTCCACAGCGGGTACTGCTCACATAGATATGGAGGTGGTACAACAGTCAGTGGTGTTAGAGTGAAGCACTGGCCTCGACAGGGCTGCGCCTGGCACTGAAGAACTCCGTGAGCCAGAGCTGTCCCAGCTGGAGGGGGGAGGGGGGAGAAGGCTGGTCACGTCACGTTCCTGCCAGCGCAGTCTTGGAATCCATAACAATGGCTGATTCCCACACGGCGCCGGCGCGAATCGTTACGTGACCAGGGGTGCGAGGGGGTCACGGGCGTCATCGTGAATAAAAACGAAGCGTGCTCTATAATTCCCTCGTCTTCGCCTTGTTGGGCCTCCTGGGAGGCCCTCGTCGCCACGGCTGGATTCGCCTTGCAATCCTGGTCAGAACGCACCACGGGAGAGTTTTCTGGAGAGGAGCTGCGCGGGTACGGCGGGTTCGTGCTGCGCAGATGTGGTGGCGACCCCAGCGCGGGCGTTCAAAGGGTTGAAGGTCACCGGTGGCCCAGATTCGGCCAGCATCGGGCGATCCCGCGCTAGCGCAAAGCCTCTTTCGTTCCAGGTTGAACGGTCCATTGGGGGTCAGAAACCAACGTTCGCGTCAACACAAAACAAATAGCATAAGCATACACTTTCGGACCTCCGAAGGAATATGTTTGTGTAGTTGCCTAGTATTAAATGAGTCACGCTTGTGTTCGCGCGCATGTCTCGCGGTGGCTGCGAGGGCACGTCGCCACGGCTTGATCGGCGGGCAGGAGTGGGCAAACGGATTTTAGCACGATTGTGGACAGGGGGGGGCGCGTCGGCTGTGGACACGATGTGCCCCCGCCCTCTCTCCCACGCCTCGATGCCGTCGGCAAGTTAACATAATCGTGTGGTCGATGTTCATTCGATCCTGATCAATTGATGAGCATTCTTCGATCCGTGTATTGGGCGTTCACTTGAACACATCAGAGCATCTCTTCACAGAGCACGTTGCAGCCGTGCCCCTCGCCCCTCGTCGGTGCGATCAGTGCGCGATGTCGTGTTCGCCCGCTCCGTGTTGTCTGTTGTACCTGCTTCTGCATGGTCGCGCTCGCTCTCACTTGCTCTCTCTTATTGCATTGCGTGGTCAAGTCAGATATTGTTTTTTCGCGGCTTCTTTGATCCCTCGGGCGGTGCCGACGCGGCGTTGTCAATATGTTGTCGATCCAGAGCTGGATACAAAGAGCAGCGTCAACGAACTATTTTTGAGCGTGTCCCACCTGGCGAGAACACTTCTGGGAGTTTCTCGTTCGCATTTCTCTCTCATGCGCGCCCCCTCTTGCTGAACTTGTTGACCAGGCGCCTTGATGTTAACGAAATCGCCACAAGTAGCAGGAGACACTTAGCGTGACGTTTGATATGTGCAAATGCGCTCTCGTCGTCAGGAGTTTTTCCCGGAAATAGCTCCTGCCCAGGGTTCTCTTTTTCAGTAGGTTGATCCCCCGGAATCGACTTGAAGAGGGCCGGCGGAATCATTTTGTGATAAATAACGAGGTCGAAGTGGGCCGGCGAATTAGAATTAGAGGATGTCCCGAGTGAAACGCTGTTTTTTCCTGGAAGCGCTTGTTTGTCCTGGATGGAGGTTTACCTGCGGAATCGTCTCAATACCGGAGCGTCGCCTGGTGTAATCGCTGCCTGGGCCACTGGGCAGGCTCCCAGGCCCAGTGGCCCCTGCTGCCACAGCACGCCCTACCTGATCGCCTCGACGTCCTAGCAGCCAACACCCGCAGCGCCTGTGGACCGTCCTGCGCCGTGCCTGGTCCCGATCCTAGCCCATACGGCGGCGGCCCCCTGTGTGGCACGGGGGAAGCCGGCAGCGAGCACCTGTGGACGTGGTGCCCAGCTGTAGCGCTGGCCTGGCTACTGGTATGCCCCGAAGGCGCTCCAGACCTCCTCCCCTGCGCCATCCTTACCCCTGGCGACCACGCGCGGACACTTGCTGTTTTCCTGCACCAGGTCTCCTACAGGTACCACGTCGCGCTTGGCAGACCCCCTTTGGATGCAGACACTGCTGCGCAACTCATCCGCTCCGGCATGGTGGTCGACCGCTCGTGCGAGGCTCCCATGGACGGCGACGTGGACATCTCCATACCAGGCGCTGACGCGGACAGGCCCTGACAACGCCTGCCCCGGATGTATGCCACATGGCCTACCACCCTGCTCGGCTCCACCACCCTACACGGCACACGGCTGGCCGACCGGGCGGGCGGCGACTGTAGGAAATTGGCAGCTGCCACGGGCACTGTCCTGCCCGGCCAGCACCTCCTACACCTCCGGTCCACCCACGCGGCCGCAGGGTGGCTGCTGGCCGGGCCTGGATGGCTCCCGTGCCCGCGCGTCACCGGAGACAGCCCCACTGCCCACTGGACAGGCTCCTTTTGCAGGGCGTGCGCAAGGCACTGCCTTATCCTCGTTGCCACCCAGCCCGTGACGCACGGACAGGAGGTCACTGTCAGCGACTCGCCCATCCCGGATCAGGACCGTGCCCAGTGGCTGTACGAGGTCACCTTCGACGGCGGGGCCCGCTCTATCGCGGACAGGGCGAAGGTGGCTGGCGCTGGCGCCACACTATGGCACCACCCGGCCTCCGGCGGGCCACCCACAAGGATCGTCCCCTGCGTGGTCGTCATTCCTGGCTCAGACAGCGCTCAAGTCGGTGAGACCACCGGCTGCCGAGCCGGCCTGGGCCTACTGGATGCCCTTGACGCGTCCACCGACGGAGCACACGCCGCCAGAATCGTCGGCGACAACCTCGCCGCCGTCTGATACGGGGCCGGCGCCGGGCGATATCGGAGAATACACCTGTGTGCACAGATGGATCAATCTCTCCGTCCCTTGGCTGCCAAGGGATGGCGGCTCACCTGGCAGGCCGTCAGAACACGGCTCAACAAGGCTGCGGACGCGCTCGCCACCTTAGGGGTCTTTTGAGCCGATGGCTTCAGACAGGCGGGGCACACCGCCATATCCACCTGGATTGTGTGGCACGCTGCACCTGCCTACGACGTGCCATACGCCTTCCCCGATCCTAGCTTAGCCGGGCTCCCCGTCTCCGACATCCCCGCAGCCATCGAGGCACTCGAGTCACGCGCAAACAGGGACAGCAGGAACAGAGGTGGTGCCTAATCCCCTTTCTTCGCCTTCGTTGCCCGCGCCGACCCTGCTAAGGTCCGGGACGTTGCCTCCCGCATCCGCTACTACCTGGACGTTGGGCTTTTTTTGCCCCCCTGATTCCCCATGGTGGCCAAGGCCAAGATCGTGGCCCGGTGGCCGCACGCGGCCCCCTGTCGTCCACAACCACTCAAGAACACGCTTGGGCGCACCATCTTTAAGTGCCGCGAGGCCCCTGGCATCCGCTGGACTCACATGGAGGACAACTACGGCGGCGGACGTTGGGGCTGGCTCTGCGACGAATGCGGCAAGGCGGTCAACGACCACCAGCACTTCACGTCGACTGAGCACATGAAGCAGCGCAGGCAGACCCAGCTCGCAGAGTACATGGAAGGAGGTACCCCCCAGGGGCTCCCTGATCCCCAGCGGTTCATGATTGGAGGTGACTTTTGGAGCATTGCCGGGGGCAAAGCCACGGCGGACATCCCGCGGGTGCAGTACCCAGGCTGGTGCTGGGATTGGGACCTCGATGAAAAGAAGTCCCCTGTCGATCCCTGTGTCTACGAGCCGGACTGGGACTCGATTCCGATCGGCTTCACCAGCCCCAGCGTCGCCAGGGGCGCCCGTCATCGAAGAGCGACGCATGCAGCTCGCCAAGAACGCTGAGGGCCTCTACAGCGTCCCCTGGTACATGGTCAAATGCAGCGCTGCGTTGCGCCCCTGCCTCGGACCCGTCCCTGGAGCGATCCTGCTACAGTCAGACTGGATACGGCGGCTGCAGACATGCGACAAGGAGCTCAAGGGAGTCTTCTTTATCGAGATCTATGCGGACGTGGAGCCCCCCGATGACGGCTCCACAACAGGCCGCCAGATCATCGATAGCAAGACCACCTGCGCTCTGGACTTGCAGGTCTTCCCTTGCTTCGCGCCCGGGGAGCAGTGCAAAGATCTCCTGGGTAAGTATCAACTACAGGATCGATTCAAATGCCAGCGACAGGGGCAAAGCGAATACTACCTGCTCGTGTGGGACAAGATGTGGGCCATGGAATGGACGGAGCGCGACGTGACAGCCGGCGCCCCGAAACCCCTCATGATCTCCAAGACATCACCGACGGTGGACTTCTTGGCTGAGGTGATCCCTGTCTGGCCCCCAGCCCCTGGCGCCAAAGTCTCGGGCGCTGACCGCTGCTGCCCCTCTGGCGTAGCCCCGGTCCAATGCGACGCCAAGAAGCGCGCGCCTTTCCACGGCAGCGACGCCGCAGTCAGAAGACCCCCCCCTGGCCAACCCTACTGCAGGGTTGACCGCGCCACGAGGATGGCCCAATTCAACAAGGTCAACGCCGCGATCCGGGAATTCTTTTCGGCCGCGTGCGAGAGGGCCGCCCCGTGGGGCACCGCCCCCCCGCCCGTGGTCTGGGCGCTCGTCTTCCGACGCGAGGTTCGCGACGACAAGGCCAGCGCCCTGTCGGTGCCCGCGAGAGGTGTGGCAGCGGACCGACTGCTTGCACGGGCCTCGGCCACGCTGGAACGCATGATCGACGACCCCGACCAACCTGGCGCCAGTATGCGCTTGGCCGAGCCGCCCCTGACGCTCCAGCAGGCTGACGAGTCCCCCGGCTGCGTCT